TCAACATATCATAGTTCTCATTTGACTGAAATTGTTTTAGTGTCCTTTTGCCGAGAATAACCACCTAATGGCATTTCATTAATTATTACAGAGTCATCCAATAGCCTTAAACCTATATAGAGCTCTCAGGAGACAGACAGTAAACAATTTGTGCTCTTGGCTCATCACTTTTAGTTACAGAGCTTTGAAGCATAAAGACAGTGAGATCAAAGGAGAAACAGGAACAAATGTGTCATTTCAAAAAAAGCTCCAGGCTGTAACTTTCGAGCAGCAGAATTAGTATTTTTTTCACTTTCTTGTGTTGTCTCAGATTTAGGAGGGACAAAGTTCTTAAATGGAGTTTAATAGCAAATAATAGACAATTTTTGTTAGAGTAGAGAGGGAGATTTTAGTCCTTAAGTTGAAAAATAAAGCAGGAAGGAGCCGAAGAAGAAAAATCGGTCCATTCACTTTAAGAAGAGGGGAGAGAGAGAAAAAAAATTGCGAGGAGCACTTTAATCCACAAAGTGTAGTTACAAAAATAAAAGCCTACTAACCAAAACAAACCAATGATGATCAATTCCGCCACTAACTTCTTCTGCTTAAGGATTTAATTTAGCATAAAAAAGAGGTTCTTTGGGGCAATTTTTTTTTCAAAACAGAAAGGATTCACCAGATGATCACACTTTCTCTTTCCATTTCCTTCCGTTCCTCAGCCGTCCCCACTTCATCAGCCTAGGCTGCCTTTTGTCGCCAGCTTGAAGTCCTTCTCTTGCATCAATCAGAGACTTGCGTTGTCCCTGATATCAGCAAGATGTGGTCTTCCTGTTCACCGTCTCTTCGGGACGGTTTAGGTCCGATTGGACCCCCCAGTGCAAAAGTATCGGCTGCAGTCTCAGAACATCGAGACTGCACATCCGTACTATAGGGACGTTGGCTCCTCCCCTATCATCTGGGCAGATTTTTGAGTAGGGGGAACAATGGCATCCACCACCTGCTCCCATTCGCATTTGTACTGGGGCATGCAGGAGAGGGAGTCCACTAGAAAGTTCCTCCCCCCAGAATGTGCTTTAGTGCGAAGTCAAAACAGGTGAGGTATTGAGCGCAGCAGATTTGTTTGGTTGATAGTTTCCATGGGGTCCTGAGGGCCTCCAGATTTTTGTGATCAGGCCAGACTTCAAACGGTTTCTGGCCCCCTTCCAATAGGTGTCTCCAGGTTAGCAGTGTTACCGCGAAAACCTCCTCTTCCCATGCAGCCCATCGTCTCTCTGTGTCTGTGAGCTTGCGGGAGGTGTAGGCACAGGGTTGTAGGTTTCCTTGGTTGTTTTTTTGAAGTAGCACTGCTCCCTCCCTCAGGCCTGTCAGGTGAAGGGCAGGGCAATGAGACCCTACGTTCAGGGGATTTGGCCTGTCCCTAGGCCTTTCCAGGGGTTTTCCCTGAGGACTTGCGCCTCCTAACCTCGTGTCTTTTGAGAGCTTTTGCTCCCTGAGGAGCCATGAGAATCCTTCCCTCCGGTGTCCTTGCTTCCCCTTCTCCCTTTGTGATGGAGAATCTGGCCTACTGCACTTTGAAGAGGGCCCAGCCAGGTCCTCCTGAGTCTCCAAACCTCCATCTGCCATCATGCACCTCTTGCAACGATCTTTCCAAGCTGACAGGATCAGCAGCAGTAGGACGGCACCAGATGCGAGCCAGCCGGCTCCACAGCACTCGCAGATCTGCTCCTGGAGCTGAAGTATGACCAGGTGGCCAACCACTCCAATGGCCGCTCTACTGATGTTCTGGGGGAGGGAGCCCTTGCCGGTGCCCTGGACAAGATCAGCCACTCCCCAGCGGTGATCTGCAGCTGAGAGGGCAAAGCGCGGCTCTTCAGAGGCCTCTGAGTCTTCTTGAACGAGAGCAGTGCGAAATGTCCTTTAAAATGGCCGCTGCACTGTTCCGCCGCAATTTTGAGCCTCTGCTGACAGTTGCAGCCTCTGCAAGGCATTGTAAAGAGACCCGCGAAATTCTCCTTCCAAAATGGATGACGTGCTTGCTGGGAGCGAAGGAGAGCTGTCGGAGGCAACTGGAGCTTTGAAGGAGGCTCCGGGGCCACTTCAAGTTCTCTGACAGCTGGGGAGGAATCAGGGAGCCCCCTGACACCCCCGTGCTTGCCAGCAGCTGCCGGACAAGCACCTTCAACCCCTTTACCTGCTGCTTGTGACGGCAGCAGTCTGGAACCCCAACAGACCTCTCAGCAATGTAAGAAACTCAAGGCAAACCTACACTAAGCTATTCTACCAATTTTTTCTACTAAACAAACACAAAAAACCCTGTAAACTGTTTGGAGAGTCCCAGTCTATCTGCTCAGGAGCTCACCAAATTTAGCCCAAATGTGCGGACTGAGTTTTTAAACTGACCTCAATGAGGCACAGGAGGCATGGCTAAAGAAAAATCTAGTCAGTCCTAGGCAGATAGACTGAATTTAACCCATGCTTGGACTCTCCAAGCAGCGCACAGGAGTAATGTATATTTGATTATTCATGTTATGACAGCAGCTAGGATTGTATTTTCACAAAATTGGAAAAGCGGACAGATTCCTACAGAGGAGAATGTGATTAGGAAAATATTGGAATATGCAGAAATGAACAGATTAACACTGGCAATTAAAGAGAAAATAACTTATTATTATATTATATGGAAATCATTTTATCAATGGTTAGAGAATAAATATAAGAATTAGAAGTAAAAGTGGTGGTATATAAAATATAGAAAAAGTATCAATAGAGTTAATATAATTGAGTTAAATCAATCAAGAAGAGGATCGTTAAAATATTAGACATTTAAGGTATAGGTGTTAAGCTAGGAATAGATCAAATAATGAACATGATTGTAAACTTTATTTCACAAAATATTTGTACCCAGATGACACACTGTTTAATGGAAGATGGATTGTTTTCCTAAAATAAAATAAAAACTAATTAAAAAAAACAACTCTTCCAATGATCATGCTACCTATTCTCAAGATGGAATTTTCTTCCACACATTTACATATGTGCTGGTTTTATTATGCCTGTATAGGAACACTAATGCTTTGCAGAAGGTCAATTTTGTCTCTTCATCTTTACACCTAAGATACAAAATCCCCCACATCAACTCGTATATGTGGGTGCTATTCAATTTTTAAATTATATATATTTTTCTTCTAATCGTTTTTTCTAAGACACACTTACACAGCTAAATGTCTGTAGCGTTTCTCAGTCATCCAGGTCATGGTTGTCTCAAAGGTGCTTTTTCAAGAGAGGACCACTGGTTTGAAAGAGGGGTCAAAGAGGCCATCTATGTCAAAATTGAACAGCCCCTCTCTCAAAAAGAGGCGGAGGGATACGACAACATCTATCTCCAATCTACAGCACAGTCGTTTCAACAGTTCCAAGAAGGCTCCACACTCACCTGCACCACTCAGGTGACCCTGATGGCACAGATAAACCTCCAGATGGTGATAACAACTCGCTAACAGAGTACAAATGACCAGCTGTCTGCAAGGAGTATAAATCCTTCCCTTCCCCACCATCCAGGCAGAGCTGAAGAAGCTTCTTGGATGAGAAGTGAAATGTCTTCAAAGACAAATCAGAAAGTCCAGCTGCCTCTTGAAAAAGCACCTTTGGGACACTTTCACAGCGTTATGTCAATATTTGGATGGTTCAATCTTTACCTGAGTGCATGGATACAGTAGATGCAGCGTGGCATGTTCTTCCGATCATAGATGTCTGTTGTCTCCGGGTAAAAAATCTGAAGAGTGCGCAAAAAAGAAAGAAAGAGAAAAAATGATTGATACTATTTGAATTTGCATTAAAAAAGAAACTTTTTCACAATGTTTATCTCCATTCAGGGGATCTAGCAAGTCATTAACTTTTGGGAGCAGAGGAAAGACTGCAAATCTTGTGACACATTAAAGAAGATCGCAAACCTATGGAAAAATTGGAAAAGAAAAACTTCAATTTGGAGAGGTCAGGTACAGAAGACCTTTTAAATGGTTAAAAACTATAGAAGTCTGGGAAAAGAAGGTAAGAATTCAAAATTCTTGTCACTGGTTTAATACCTAGAACACCTACTGTAGAAGCAAGCAAAGTTATAACCAAAGACCAGCATGGTTTTGTGAAAAACAGATCATACCAAACAAATCTTATTTCATTTTTCAACAAAGTGACTAATTTAGTGGACCAGTGAAATGCTGTAGGAATAGTATATTTGGATTTCAGTAAGGCATTTAATAAAGTAGCCCACAACCTACTTCTTGGTAAGACAGAAAAATGGGGGACAGACAGCATCGTTAACAGCCATGGTGGTGCAGTGATTAAAAAGACCGTTGGCTTACCTGAACGGTCGTTCTCGGGGCACTGCGAAGAGAGCCCAAATGCTGGGTTAACACAGCCTATCTGCCCTTGGACTG